CCCTCTTCTCCATCTTCCGCCCCTCTCTCTCTCTTTTGCTGCCACTCTCCCACCCTCTCTCTCTCCATCTCCCTCCCTCCTCTCTATCTCCTCCCAAACTCTCGGATCCATCTTCCAAACCCACCCCCCTTTCTGTCTCTCCACCCAAAATTTCTCTCTCAACCCAAACTCCAATCTCTCTCTACTGCAACAAAGTTCGCACAAATCACAGTAAGTTCAAATCCTTCACCAATTTGTTTTTGTGGCTTGTTTTTATAAGTTTCCATCGACTAGTTGGCCATGATTTGGGCATTTTGTGGTCGGTCATGATTTGGGCATTTTATATTTTGATTTTTGTTAGATGTAAATCTAGGGTTGCTGTAAATCTAGGGTTCTTATTAGTTGCTCAACTTTCAGTATCGTTTGATGAAGGACATTGATCTGTTTGCGAAATATGATCTGTTGGTACAAGTTCAGAAGGTTACTGTTATTTGCTTTATCATTTCTTTATTCATTTATTCATGCTTATTACAGCAGATTCAGACAATGGAATGGATATGGGGGACTTAGCTTTGATGGGTTTTTCTTATTTAGTCTGTGCAGTTCTACTGTGGGCTCTGATGATTTGGTTTAGATTCTAGGAGATGCATATCAACCGGATAAACCCTAGGGTTCAGGGCTTCTCGGAGTGGGTGTTCCAATTAAGTTTCTTCTTGTTATACCAAGTTATGGTTGAAAAAAAACAGAATCCCTTTTTGCTGCTTTTCAAAGAGGTACAACAAATTGTTGAGGGATATTTTGTTAAGGATTCAAGTGGTGTATCCTTATCTTTGCACAATATGGGAAACAATATTTCTCGAGCTCTGTTTGTAAACCAGAACTTAATGGGTCTTTTTGTTCCCAGTCATGTTTTTTTCTCTCATGGCCCTACAATTGTAAAATTGGTTTCCATATGGACATTTAAGAGATTTTATAAGTGTTCTATGTGTAATTGTCTGGGGTTGTGGCGAGCACTCAAAATTTGCAATCCTGTGAACAAATACCTATCTCCATTGTTCTTGTCATGTCATTTACTTAGAATTGGGGAAATTCTTTCTTTTTCACGGGTCCCTGGTTCTCATTGTATATTTTTATTATCTTGGATGAGGTCATTCACACAATCATACTTAGCAGAGATTGGCTTTGAAATTTCCAATTGACTTCCATATCCTGAAGGTTTTTGGTATCTTTAACTTGCATTACTTGTAAACTGATTATGATTTTTTTTGTTCTGTTCTACTTTGTGAGGAAATATTCATTTTGTCATCAGCTAGTTAATAACAACTTAACTTACAATTTTTTGGACAATTTGCATGGAACCGGCACCGTACCATGCCAAGGTGTTTTCTGTCATTCATACAAATCTTTTATGTGTTTCTCGAGTTATACTGACCAAAATTTGGTAATTTCTATATAGGCTGCCCTTTGAACTGGGATCTGGCCATCTACCATCTAGTGTAATCTACCATCTAGTGTAGTGTGACGAGATCCTAGGCCAAGACAGGAAACCCATGGTCAAAAAGTTCGCAAGCAGAGGCCAGATGCTTGTGTCACTGATGGAGTATATCCTGCGCTCCATATGAAGAAGAGAAGCCTACAGTTGTTGCCATGGTCCCTGAGAAAGTAGTCGTTTATTATAAGCCCGATTGTTCTTATACTGTTGATGTTCACCGATCTTTTTCTTTTGAAAGGAATGGGTATTTGTTTCATGATATCATTACAAATGTAGTTCAGTTTTCATACATCTCTTTCTTGTTTGGTGATGTAATGTAATATGGTCAGTGGGCTAAAAAAATATCTTTGCAATTGTAGTTAATATAAATCAAATACTCGTTACACGTTTTCTCTCTCTCCTAATTGAGGAGTGGAAGAAAAACAGCCTTGTTTCTAAAATTTGATCCATCCATCCAACAATAGCGATCAAATGCGGTATATCAACTTAAGAAACATCTAAAAGGGACATGCACGACAACTCAATTAATCAACTATCATTGCACGTTGCAACATCCATTATTTCCTAACTGCATACATTGATACTTAATAGAAGAAATCTTAGAATGGGCGCTGATGTTTGCAATTTTCCTTCTTTTAGAAATGCTCCAATACGAATGTCACATGCAGAAGCCTAGCAATGCACTCCCCAAGAATTGGGCGCGGCGCTGATGTTTCGTAATGAGCAATTTTCCTTCTTTTTAAAATGCAATACGAATGCCATATGCAGAAGCCTTGCAAGGCACTCCCCAAGCATAGGGACCATTTTGGGCGACATCTCAATTATCATTGCATGAATGTGAATGGCATTTGAATGGACAAAAACTTTATGGAGAAAAAGCACTCTTGCAACTCAGCACTTGCAAAGTAAACGTGAGGTACACAAATTTGATTGTTATATGAAAGAACATTAATTTTATAGACAAGATACATTGCAATACTGAAATTACAGTCACAGTGAAGGGAAACATTTGATCCCAAATATGACAGTGCAGTATCTTCATTTCTTTCCTTTCTAGGCGACATGTCTAGAAATGGGTAGCCACACAATGAATATATATTTTATAATGTTATTTTCTAAAGTCCATACAACAAAAAAAAGGCAAAATAGACATCTTGAGTCTGCAGCAGCAAATTGAAAAAGCCAAAATAGACATTTTGAGTCCTCAACAGCAAATTAAAAGAGTTAAAATAGACATCTGGAGTTCACAACAGCAAATTGAAAAATCCAAATAGACATCTTGAGCTCGCAACAGCAAATTTCTCCTTAGTGTTCCTTGAGATGGTTGAGAACTATCTGCTCTTGTTGTATGCATCAACGAACATCACATTGTTGCTTTCCACCAATTTTAGATGACTTTGTTGCACCCAACCTAATTCACAAAAACACACTGTATTTCAATAATCATGTTCATGTTCTATAAATTTTGCAATCAGTAACAAGCAATCATTGACAATTCAATAAGCAACAAGAAGTAAGCCAACAATCACTGCATTACATTCTCCACCTGCCAAAACATTCACGGAAAAATTATAGAGTGACCATAAAATGCTTTGCCAAATTCAATATAAAAAATAGTCAAATTCAATTGGTAGCACTGGAGCCTCGTTTGCTCCATCTAATCATGCAGATCTTCTCCACTTACATGGCTCTGAATTATTCCCATCGTCACATGGGATATCTACTTCTTATAATTTATAGGTACTTGAATTCTCAACAATTCACTGGTGCTTCAAAAATTTCAAGGGTTTACCAATAAACACATCAATTGCAGCTTCTAATTTGGCATCATATGACCATCTTATTTAGCAATATCCATAACATCAAAACCAATCCCTACAATCAATCACTATACAACAAGCAATCAATCACTACAATTCATAGTGCTCCTTACCATCAATGGTTTTCTTTGGCATTCCTAGCAGACCGTTCTGTACGGCACATTTTCTTCGGCATTCCAAGCAGACCGTTCTGGTCTCAATGGTGCCATTTGTGCTGTCTACAATTGTGCACGAGGGAGATGTCACACCGACTGATATGGCAGGGTCCATAAAACTCTTTCAATTAACCCTACATAAAAAACCAAACAACATAAGTAGATGTCTGCAGATATTGTCCGCAAAAATCAATTGAGTTGTTCTATCAAAACACTATATAGACAAACATCACAAAAGAATAACCATAATTGATTGTCTATGGAAGTTTTAAAAATGTTCTTAACCAAACAAACAATAAAGTAAGATGAGTCAATACCCTACAAATTGTTGGACTATCTAATTCACTTTCAACAGCTTATAATTGCCTTTTTAGCCTAGTAATAGTTCCAAAAGATGAGCAACTGAGGCACCATTTGTTTCGATGCAGTAGAAAATTGGTGCATGTATTCATATTGATGAGGTAAGTGGAAGGACTGATTGGGAAAGGTTTTTCAAGGAACATACTATCGAAATTTAAGTGCATAAGTTCAGTCTTATCTAATGTCCTGCATTTTCATTAAAGCATCTCGTATATGCTTTTCTGAATAATAAAAAGGCCGATTAAATCTAGGTAAAAGTAACCATGATAAAAAAAGAATATCACCTATATATGTACTCATTATGGATGTTCTAAATTCATAAATGAAAGAATCAGGGCAAAGGATGCCTAGCCCCTACGAAAGTGATGTTACATTAAATGCAGGGACACAGTTAGGATAAAGAAGATTAAAAAAAAGAAATAGAGAAGAGGAATGCAGTTAGCATTTTGGACTGATTACATGCCATTTTATAAGTATGATGTATTCTAACTCACAACATTAAATACATTCATATTTAAGCAACAAACTGGATTGCATTTTCAGTAAAACCCCATACACTTGCATTCATATGTTCTCTGCAATTATATTTTTTCAAGAATTTCTATTTCTAAAAATAACATAACAGTGTTTCCAAGTTAGGCACAAATAGGATCATTTGGTTTCAAATATGTCCAGTAAGCAAATTAACCCAACCGCATATTTCTCTATGTTCCTGCAACATCTCAAATACATCTCACATCCTCTTAGATCCAGAAACTAATGCATTCTTCTAACATAAACAATAATACATTCACATAGAACTCTAGTTTCCACAAGGTGGTGGTGGAATACCATTTGAGGGATGAAACAATGCTGCATTTCATTGCCCACAGTTTCAATCAAACAATAATGGGGCAAAGATGCGTACCTGAACCTTGGATGCACCTCAAATCCCGAAGAATGCCCCAATCGAGCAATGGGACAGCAACAAACCTTGGATGCACCTCAAATCCCGAATATTGTCACAATTGAGCAAAGGAGCAGCAACAATGGGGCAGCAGCGAGAGTGATTGAGAGAAGGCAAAGAGGGAGATTGAGTGAGGAGCGAGATGTTTGGGTGCCCCAATCATCTGAGAGAGGTTTGCAGCAGTGTGAGAGATTGAGAGAGCGTGAGATAGTTTGGTGGAGAGAGAGAGAGAAGGGGGGAAGATGGAGTTTGGGTGGAGAGAGAGGGGCAAGATAGTTTGGTAGAGAGAGAGAAGGGGGCATATGGAGTTCGGGTGGAGAGAGAGGGGCAGTGGTGAGAGATTGAGAAGAGAGAGTTGCCATCATGACTCATGAGAGACAGTAGGAGTGAGAGAGAGGGGAAGATAGAGCTGCAACCGTGAGAGATAGCAAGAGAGAGAGGGGCTTCCCCACGATAGAGAGAGAGAGAGAGTTGCAATACGAGACATCAGGAGAGAGAGCAGTTCTCTGCAAATGTCAAAGGACATTTACGTGGTTGTTGTAGCTTGAGGGAGAGATTGAGGGAGCCTTAGGACCGTGAGATCTCCATCGAGAATACAGGCAGATCACCACCATTGGCGCACGACCTCCCCACCA